AGGCTCGCTGACTTGGTTGATGCATGTCATCGATCCCAATTGCGTGGATCGATGCTCATGATATTAATCACTGGATTGTCTGGTCCAGACTCGATTATTTACAGACCGCCGTCATATAGCTGGAATATTGCTGAGTGCGGCGTTAAACAACAAACCAACCAACCTAATTCAATATGAGAAAATGAATACCACGATATATCATTCAATGCGAGAAGACAGTTCGAATAGATCACAAAAATAACACCACTACATATCCTCGATAGCGCATCTATTTTATGAACAAAGATACTTATACGGACAAATACAGTGTCGTTGCAGCGCGTCACGGATTGAGTGGCTGCGTAATAAACTTGTATAAACCAACCATCTGTGTGCGACGGTGGCAGCCCTGGGCCCCGTTCCACAAAGCGATCTTAGTGCTACGTTGGTCGTAAGCCAGTGATAAAGTCTGGGAGTTGCGACCAACTTAGCACTAAGATCGCTTTGTGGAACGGGGCCCTGGTCTTTGTGTATTTTCATGCAAATTGTGTGAATGGCGGGTGCTACCGGTAGGGTAGAGCATGCTTACTCTTTTCGCGAACACCTGGTGTCATCACTGATTTTCAGTGGTCCTTTATATAATGTGCACAGCTATTTGCCCTTTACGCCAGATTGAATCTGTTTCGGTGGATAATCTAGACTGGTTATTATCTTGCATTGACAACTGATATTTACACCGACAGTTTATGAAGGCATTGTTTCATGGACAACTGGTGTCATTGTAATTTTACAATGTGTCCTGTGTGTAAACGCATTATTTGTCCCTTACATTGTGTAAGATAACGGATAACGGATAACGGATATCTCTAAATGTTTTGAATAGATCGTTGGTGAACGCGTTGCTCCGTGTGCCGATGTACGAGAGTTGTCGAACAGAATTATATAATTTTATTCTGTACACTGTATTACGGTGGCCCATAAGAGACATGGAGTCTGTTTTTCCATATATTGATATTTCACTTACATTTATCGTAATCTTTTGCAAATTAACACGATTTGTCTTACAAATATGTGATAAATCATGTGTAAAGAAGATATTGAATCGCTGAAAAAACGAAACGAAAATGTCAAAAACTAAAATGAAAATACAGAAAACTATTTCTACCGCGGTGATAATATTCCCACCGCGGTGACAATATTTACACCGCGGTGAAAACTATTTCCACCGCGGTGAAAACTATTTCCACCGCGGTGAAAACTATTTCTACCGCGGTGATAATATTTACACCACGGTGATAATATTTACACCGCGGTGAAAACTATTTCTACCGCGGTGATAATATTTACACCACGGTGATAATATTTACACCGCGGTGGAAATAGTTTTCTGTGTATTCATTTTAGTTTTTGACATTTTCGTTTTGTGTTTTTGACATTTTCATTTTAGTTTTTGACCTTTTTGTTTTTGTTTTTGACATTACCATTTTAGTTTTTGACATTTTCACTTCACATTTCAGCGACTCAATAGCTACTTAAAAGTACATTTTCCATGTTTTCGGATGTTTTTATACATGATTTATCACATATTTGTATGGCAAATTGTGTTAATTTGCAAAAGGTTACGATAAAAGTAAGTTAAACATCAAAATTTTGAAAAACAGACCCCATGTCCCTTCTGGGCCACCGTACTGTATGGCCTTTCGTTAATTATTTTCTTCCGCAAATAAAAGCAAACCATTTAATGAAAACGTCATTAAACATTACATTGGAGCACCACCATGCCACACAAACTTACATTGACTATGCACGCCACCAAGTCATAAAACACACCGATGATGAATCAGGTATACACATATGTCTGTTTTACACATCCAAAGCTAAATATCCGTCGACCAAGACACTAACACACCACTCCGGCGACCTTTTCAAAACATTTCTCATTATATTAATCGTTTGGCTATAGCGATGTAAGATTTAATTTGGAAGTTTACACGACACTTTGCTGGCATTATAAATACTGAGCTTACATGAGCGAGTTCATTCCTGATACGGCAGTTAAGACGCTGATCACGACGGAGTTCCCACGAACATGCCTAGTGATAGGCGAAACCCGCTCAGATAGGAGTAGACTGGTAACCACAACTGTAGACTTTTAAACAAATGGCGGGTGGAGGAAAAAAGGGTATCTGGATATATCAAGAGTTATTTTCTTGATGTTTTCCAAGGATTTTATGGAAACAATTAAATTATACAATTAAATTATCCAAAAAGTATAACGATGCTTCAGACTGTTGAAAAGAAAAGTTATCTGCCAAAAAACTTACCTTGTTGCAAGGTGCTTTCTTCTAAAGAATCTAATCCGAATGCCAAATACCAGCCCCCCCGCTCCCAAGTATCAAAAGGTGGTCCATTTGGAGTCCCTCGTGTGTGTTCAACTGACAGTTTCGTGCTATCAGGTTCTGTGACAATAAATTGTTAATTATACTGTGTTTTTTAAAATACTGCCATATTTTTATTTTCATCACGGTAAATGTAGACACAAAGGGCTTGTTGAGAGTATTGCGCTCTTATGTAATTTGTTTACAAAAAAGGTGTTACTTTTTATAGTTGTTTCGTGCATGCAACAGTCGGAGAGTATCTAAACTGTGAAATGGGTAATATGAATGGAAAACTTGCTTATGATTTAAGAATATTTAATATCAAAATACTGACTTTCGTGAAGGTGTTCTGAAGTTATTATTTTCTTAAAACAAAACAGTCTAGAAATGATGTTATGGAAAGCAATAGTATTAGAGGTGGTGTTATCTAAGCGTTATCCAAGCGATCTAGATTCGTCGTAATTCGGATCCTTTGTATTGTAGCACAATACCCGTTGTTGTCCATAATAGTACACGTTCAGGTCAGCATCACTCCGGGCTTTCCTCACGCGGCAACCTGACGCCTTGATAAAACTCACTTACAAAATCATATCTTTTGTTGTCATCATGGGTTTTTTCTTTATTCGTTAGTATGAAGTAAGTTTTTTACATAGTCCAGCGGCAATTGTGACATCGAAGTTTTTATATCTCAAACTTCTCCCCAGATTTGTGTTAATTTCATAATTTCAACTGAAACCACCATATTTGCGTAAAATATGATTGCACCTGTAAATATGTACATATGACTCTGAATATGGCATAATAACTCATCAACTGTGAGAACGCGCTGCAGTTTCCCAAAATGTCAGTGATGGTGGTCCAAGCTGACTGGAATCTGCGCTCACACTGTCAGTTGAACATGTTGTCACAGGTAGAGACAATCTGTAGGGGTCTGCGGCATATAACTATAATATGAGATTGTAATGGAGATTCTCAACACGTTAAATTAATTGTCATTGAAAAATAATTTACTAGTGTTTGTTATATGTTTTATAACCGTATTCGATCTGTCATGTCAGGTTTTTAAAAGTAACAAGCAGGTTAAAAACTAAAGCTAAATGTTGCTTTGAAGACAATAGTACGTGAGCGAGTTTGGTTGAACGCCGCTTTGAACAGTATTTAAGTTATATCAATGCGTGTCAGAAAGATTGAAGATGTTGGAAGAAAGTCCAAATGACGTACGTCGTGGAACTTTGGAGAAATTCATGGTCGGTTATTTTGTTGTCAGACCACAATGAGAGATTCCATAATCTGGGATTCGAACCCCAAACCAGTGGCACGGCTAGAGATCACCTGTGCCTCCTGAATAAGAATATTTACACGGTGAAGTAGTATTTTATTCACGAAGGTTAATGCTCCAAGGCGGTTAGTATGAATACACATGCATTTCGTGAGAATAAGTAAACTACGGTTTTAACAACTCAAAAGAGACTACTAATTTTAGTTCGTTATAACCGTAGTTCGTTAAAACTTATATTCAACATATATACAGGAAAAGGCAGGAACCAAAAAGAACAGTTTGTTATAACCGTCAGTTCGTTATAAGCATGTTCGTTATTAACGTAGTTTACTGCATGTCCATATTTCCTGTAGCAACTGTTGCCGCATGTATTGGGCAGCAATATGCATATGAGATGGTTCATTTTTTTACAATCATATCCAAAATTAATAGCAACGCCATTGCGTTGTAAAGCGTATATGCTTATTTAGGTGTTCGATATATCGAGGGTCCACTCAATAAATCTGTATGCGGTTGTTTCATTCATTGGTTGTGATGTACGAAGAATCATTTTGTCATATAATATATTCCTTCACACTCAAAGCCTTAAAGAATGAAAACAATTCGACACAACACGGAGACAGCCCAAAATCAGTAAACATCATAGATACCGCCGTTTTGGTCGATAGGATACATAGCTGGTTATGGGTCAGTCTTTCTCATACTACACACCCGTCCGAATACTTCGCTCATTTGCGTCAGCTGGCTCCAATGTATTGTTATTGGACAGGGATCTATGGCATGAAGATGGGGCAGAACATGTCGTATACTGGCAAATGGTCCAGCAACTGGGTGTATATGCAGCATGAGTAATGTTTTCGGCAACAATAATGACCAACATACATACATGTACACACAACGAGTTCGATTCTTAGATTATATTGCTTCTGAATGGTTCCTAAGCCAGACAAAGAAGCTCTACTTTCGTCATATGCGAGCATTGTGAATCGTCAGTTCAACTAGATGCTTTATCGGCAAGTTTTTCTTTCCACACGAGATATAAACAGTACGATATTTTTGCAAATCTCCAGTTGCAAATACATTTTGTGCAAAATTTATTTCATAAGAAAAACAACTTTAACCGACGAGTGCTGATATATTTCATATCAAAATACACTAGAGGTAAATTCTCTATATATTTCATAGGTCTCAAGGACAACAATGATAAAATATGTCTTCTGTATAAATAATTACATAAATATTTGTCAACAGGAATACTTACAGACATACGGGAGGAAAATGTTCGAAGTTAAATTTCCAAGGACAATGAAAATATATTAAATGTCATGCGTGTCCATGATAATTGTTAAAACAGGGATACTTACTGAGATGAATCTATTTATTCATTCCTTTCTTGAACCATACACAAATCGCTGACATTATACACATCCCACGCAAAAATAGAAGAAATGGCTCGCAATAGATAGTTAATTTTACAGCAGAAGTCTGATTTCATCAGTCTCTAAAGTAGTAACCCTGATTTAATTGCAAAACACTGCTCTCTACTTCTTGTCGGCTGGGAGCGTCGGCACAACCATTGGAAGCGTTGGGATCATTGGTTGTCCTGGTGGCAGTGTGGGAGCCACCATCTTCACGGGCTCTGTTTTCGGTAGTACCGGCACCTGGGCCCCAGGTTGTACTGGAAGCGTGGGGACTACCATCTTCACGGACGCTGTTTTCGGTAACAGAGGGACCTGGGTCCCGGGTTGTACTGGAAGTGTGGGAGCCACCATCTTCACGGACGCTGTTTTCGGTAATAGAGGGACCTGGGTCCCGGGTTGTACTGGAAGCGTGGGGACTACCATCTTCACGGGCTCTGTTTTCGGTTGTACCGGCACCTGGGCCCCAGGTTGTACTGGAAGCGTGGGAGCCACCATCTTCACGGACGCTGTTTTCGGTTGCACCGGCACCTGGGTCCCGGGTTGTACTGGTAACGTGGGAGCCACCATCTTCACGGGCGCTGTTTTCGGTAAAAGAGGGACCTGGGTCCCGGGTTGTACTGGAAGCGTGGGAGCCACCATCTTCACGGACGCTGTTTTCGGTTGCACCGGCACCTGGGTCCCGGGTTGTACTGGTAACGTTGGAGCCACCATCTTCACGGACGCTGTTTTCGGTTGCACCGGCATCTGGGTCACGGGTTGTACTGGTAGCGTGGGAGCCACCATCTTCACGGACGCTGTTTTCGGTTGCACCGGCACCTGGGTCCCGGGTTGTACTGGAAGCGTGGTTGTCAGATCAAGTGTCGTTGGTTGTTTCTGGAGAGATGCTATGGTTTGTTGAAGTCTCTTAATATCGTCATGCATCTGCTTCAACTGGACTTGCGTCACTGGTTGATTGTTGGCGTTGGACAAGACTTGCTGGAGTCGATGCTCGAGCAAGTCGATGCTCTGCTGAGCGTCCTTGATATCTGTCATTTCCTTGCCACTGAGAACTTTGGCTTGCATTGCATTTGTGGCAACACCAGACAACTCACTCTTGAGTGTATCCGTTTCGTTTTTGATTTGGGTTAGTTCAGTTTCCAGGTTGTTGATCCTTGGTTGGTTGACTGTCTGGAACTGTGAGAATTTTCTCGACACCTGGTCTGCTTTAGTGTCTGATGTCTGAACTCTCGCCATGAGCGCCTGGGACTCTGTGCTGAGGTCGTTGAGGGCCTGGCTATGGTTACTGAGCTGCAATGCTAGGGTGTTGCTCTTCTGTTGAAGGGCCGAAAACTGTTGCTGTTGCATCTGGTCGTATCTTTGAATCTCCTGGTCGAAAGACTGCAGCTTGCTCTTGACTTCACTCAACATAGCAGGGCTGATGTTCCCAGTGCCTGCTGTTGCAGAGGGCGTTCCCTGTAGAGCATGAACCATTTTCAATAGATCTTCAATCTTGGCCTCGGCTTGCTTAGTTTTCTGCTCTTGACTGCGTATTTGAGTTTCAACGGCAGCGTTCACCTTTGACTGCTCAATAGCATCTTTCTGGAAACTGTATGTGACGTTAAACAGTTTGTTTTGCATATCAACGAGAGCTTGGTTGAAGTAGTCCTTAGTGGTACGGACGAGTCGTTGTATATCGTTACTTCCTCCGGGGCCGAGGGATGACGGGAAACTGCTCACCTGACTCTCGAGTTGTCGGAGATGGCCGTAGAGGTCGTTCATCTGACTGCCGTAAGTGTTCACAGTGTTCTGGATCTTGGACATCTGTTCTTGTAGAATCGTGTTCCCAGACACGTACTGCAAGCGTGTCCTGTCCAAATCCTCCTTCACGTCTGCAATCTTCTTGTTAAGCCCTGCATTCCCATTACTGCACATTCCGGTTTTATCCGGGACGACGAACTCATACCTGCAGTTATTCCCAGAGTCAGACGACGGCAAGCCAATCAAACTTCCTGACACCACTACAAAGTAAGAGATGGTTATGATGAAGAATACGTTGGCGGCCATGTTGAACTGCATGGAAGACTACACACAAGTGCAAACACTACACAGTTGTGGCGCTGACTGATCCAAACTACAGGATTCTAATTTAAGTATGATCATTGCGGGCGGATCCCACAGACGAATGATGACAGGCTGGTTGACTATTGGGTGTCTTCTGCGCGACGTCAGAGGCGGGAAGGTGGCTTATCTTATCTTTGGAAGCAAACTGGTGTATCTCCTCCCTCTTGTCCGAAGCTGCGGCAAACAGGATTGGTGAATACTTGTTGACATACACGAAACATCTCAATTTTTTAACATCCTAACAGTTTCCCGTGTTTTCACGAGAGATGCTTTACGCCCTTGTCTGCTTACTACAGAGTGACTCTGCTGGCGAGAAACCATAGAATTCAATGATCTCTCTGGCTTTAGTATTCAAGGGCAACGGATGTGATTCTCGCCTATATCGTAGCGTGTAAATAAACATACCATTTAAATCTACCATCAGTCAGAAAATCGAATTTGGGCACGATAGCATAGTGCAACGTTACTGTTGATACTCCTTGAGGTATGAATATATGCTTCTACAATAAACGGACTAGAATTGCGAAGTTTCCGAATCTTACATAGTGCGAGAATTTGGTTCATAGCCGCTTTAACCGTATTTCAGTTATATCAAAGCATGTCAGCTAGTTCTGGGAGGAAATTCTAAAGTGATGCATATCTTAAACGTTAACTACCCGTGAAGATTCGGGGGTAGAATAGGTCTTCAGCAACCCATGCTTGCTGTAAAAGGTGACTATGCTTGCCGTAAAAGGCAACTAACGGGATCGGGTGGTCAGGGCTCGCTGACTTGGTTGATGCATGTCATCGATCCAAATTGCGTGGATCGATGCTCATGATATCACTGGATTGTCTGGTCCAGACTCGATTATTTACAGACCGCCGTCATATAGCTGGAATATTGCTGAGTGCGGCGTTAAACAACAAAACAACCAAGAAAACAACTTAAACGTTAACCGCTATGATGAAACCCATGAGGAAAGAACGCAACTCTGCAGATAAATATATGAATACAAACATACACACATAAATACATACGCAGGCACGCAGGCACGCATGCACGCAGGCACACAGGCACGCAGGCACGCAGGCACGCAGGCACGCATGCACGCACGAACGCACATGCATAGTGACGACGGTTAAAAGTATTTAATCGGTTGGAGTCGGATACACTTCTGAAAATATGAACGTTTGGAACGCAAGGTTGTCTGTGGAGCTGAATACACAACGTATATATGTACATTTTACATAAACAGTAACTAAAGTACAGAATGACATAACAGACTTATTCTTTACACACCCAAACTGTAATCATTTTATTTTGAAAATACCGCATTTAGTTTCTGTGAATTCCATACGTAGATACCACCTTTCACAGTATGTTCCGGAACAGAAGAGGTGACTAGTAGAAGAATGGGGATCAGCTGGGCACTATGAATTTGAATGGGAATATTTTGTTCCTGAAACTACTGGAAAAGAAGAATTTCGTCACAGGTTTTACACACAAACAATATCGCTCACTGGACTTCCTGAAAAAAGTGTAGTGAGTTTCAAACTTGATAATACACAAGGTAGATCTACTTGCATAGATCGAGTTACAGCTAGTGGACAATATGTTTAATGGATGGTAACTTAACTATCTTACAATTTTAATGTTTCTCTTAAATATGTTATATGTGCCAACAGAGTGAGTGAGTTAGGTTTAAAGCCGCTTTGTATATAAGTTCAGCTATACCACGGCGTGTTGGGTTAATGTAGGAAAGCACGCAGTGATGCAGGACATACGCGGCATTCTTGTCAACAGAGACCATCAAACTGAAGTAAATTACTATGAAATTCTTTATTGACGTTTCTGAGAAATTTAATTTACATTTAACTCCGTAAATGTCGAATGAAAAAATAGTCAGATATGCGACACATGAACATCCGCATCATGTTGAATTTCAACAGCTGATTAAAGCTGAGAAACACACGTTCTCAGTCTGCAGTGTTGGAGGCTCGTGAAGAAGCTTCCCTGTCTGGTATCAACCAGAGCTAACATATGGCATAGCGTTATCGCGTTGACAGAAAGCCGGTGTCAGCTACGAACATGTATAATGTTAGGGTTTAAGTGGCCGTAAGTCGGTGTTTGTATAAACATACCAACTGTTATGGGGCTGTTCACTACAAAAGCCCCTTCAAAGCAGTTGAGAAAAAAAATAGGAACAGATTTGTCGTGTTTCTTAATTAATGGCGAATACTTTTCTCCTTAACAGATCACTCTCGACGTTGATTCAAATTTAATGAAGTTTTTTGTGAAAACGTTCCTTAGGTACTTACAAACAAGACGGCTACTTCTGATCTTTGTAAATGATCGGAGGCTGTTAGGAAAACTACCTTATTAAAAGCATATTAATGGTAATTATACTTTATCCGAAACATACAGTGAAATAGTACAACGTCATTCATCAAGAGTTGATATTTTTGGTATTTGAGAGCACTGATATTATGCAACACTACAAGAACGGACGTATTTATGTTTTTGGCTTGTATGTAGTACAATGGCGAAGAGGATATGAACATATTTTATGTTCGGTGTTCAACCTAACACATTCATATTTTCAAAAATAAGACTATTCACTGTAAAATAAGGTAATAATTCGTTCGACCAACATCACCATCAGAGAAAAGCAAATATTTATATCCATATCTATAAATGTATTTGTTTCCTGATCAGATTTTCTGTTCTACTTTCCTAATAGCAATATCTAGAATAAAGTTTCGTAAAGAATTTTACTTTAATTTACGTTTGTAAAGAATGGATGGATGTCAAATACAAAATAATCTATTTACTTAACTTAAATTGAACGTCTCTAATAGTTTAGTGTTGTGTACTCATTTGGCACTATATCACAATTGTGGTAGTTCACTCTATCAATATATTCGTACGCGGTTTCTAATGTTACATCAGTGAGTAACTTTAGGTAAAACATTGATTATTTTAAAAATGACATAATGTGAGATTACTATCGCCATGTTTCCGTGTCATAAATATAATATATTGGTAATAAAAATAACTGGTTACAAATCGTTCAACAAAATCAAATGGGTCTGTTTTAAAACGACGTAAATTTTTCACGAGAGATGAACCTGGAGCATTTCAGATGGGAACCCAGCGTTCTGAAGCCCTCGTGATGACCAGTTCATTCCTCAGTAGGTTCTCGACTCTCCCATGAGCGACGCTATTGGCTCAGTGACGTGACGTGAGGTGTCGATCATTCATAATCATATCATATTTTATCACCATGTTCCTCAGTGTTGGTATTTGAAGGTCTTCATGATGACGGCAGTGACATGTCAGCATCAAGTGAAACAAAGGAGAATGTGGTATTGCAGTATGGCCTTTTAGAAGTGAGAGGACAATGACGTATCAATGTAATTTTTTCACTGTTTTTCATGCAAAGTATCACCCCAGTTTGTATGGAAGTTATATTTTTGCAACACAGTTAACACTGCCCACAGTGTAGTGCAAATGCTGGTACCTAAAAGAAACTTAATAGCTTTTTACACAAAGTTTCAGATCAAAACCATATTTTCAGAAATTGCAAGATTAATTCTTATTCAAAGTACCATTATTATATCTAACCCCCAAAGCAATGCTACATATCCTACAATCATTTCAGTGCTCTGGACCTTCTAATGGCTGAGATCATGCTGCTCAACAACGATGTGGTATATGTCCTTTCAATAAGAATATATTTCAATCTAAAGAATAAAATAACTGAATAGATCCTTCTATGAACAGTCCGAGTAACGGTATGTTCCTTATCATCCTCCATATTCCAGTCAAGCTATGCTTTCTGCAAAAAAAGTTTCTTACATGTTTTGAAAGTTCGAATATTTAACTTTGCATTAGAAAAAAAGCACATTTTCCAAACAATTTTGTAGGCAAAAGAAATCTAAGTTACAATGTGTGGCTGCACCTCACATCATAGTCCTGCACTATGACCGTGGAATATATTTATGTTATGAAAAAAATAAATCTAGAAACGCATACAAAAGCAAGTCTAGCCAGCTCAAGCTAGCTCTATTCCACAGTCATGTCATTTTGGGGAGAGGACCGGTCGAAATAGTTACCGGTATTTAAGTCCTTCCTTATCATATCAGAGAATCTTGTTCAGATGACAGCCTAGCACTGGTAGTGCTCCCATCTAGTTTACTGTAACAAAATACAGCTGGGGCAGTGGGGAGAGGCGTTATAGGAATAGGGAAATTATTTTTATTTGTGTAATATAAGATTTCCGAGACTAAATGTTAGTCTACTCACATCAGAGTCCGAGACATTGTGATGTCTGGGGAGAACATTAGTTAAAGTTTTGTACGATTTTATTTGTCTAAAGTGAACACGAATTCGTATTTTTACGCCATCATGAAACATTGCATCATCATACAGTTTGAGGTACACCCTTTCCCTGTGGAGGTCCAAGGAGGAGGATATAAGTATATAAGTTCAGCTATACCACGGCGTGTTGGGTTAATGGTGTAGGAAGGCATCGCCATCGTGAAACATTACATCATCATACAGTTTGAGGTTCATCCTTTCCCTGTGGAGAGGTCCAGTGAAGAGCACAGATAGATGATGGCCACCGCGCTGCCAGAATCTCACTTGGACCATCGGTCTTTGTGAACTAAATCTGAGTATTGAATGGAAATGTTCCTCTATTTTGTCACATCAGTATACTTTTAAGAGAAGATGTTTTGTGAAGTGTTAACACACAATGTATAAACTTATCTTACCTACAATATTATTTCATCGTATTTAGTTTCATATGACCATTAATACACATACACATTCCAATAGGGATTTAAAACAATAAAACAGTTCCATGAAACCCACTCAGACAATGTATTGTGCCAGTCTGTTTCCAACTTTCATAAACACACATACAAACTAAAACCGTGCAGGTGTACAAATTTTCGAATATAAACTTGTTTTAATCGACAAATCCATTCAAATATTCGGTGTATTGGGGTTTTAAGAATGTGTCAAATATATTTTACCGCGGTTGACAAGTACATTAGGTTTTAAAGATCTTG